AGTGGCCATCCACTGATGACCGGATAAAGAATGGAATGGAATACTACTCAGCCATAAAAAGAGACAAAATCTTTTTTGATTTGTCCCATTCATAACAACATGGGTGGAGCTTGATGGTGTTATGTTAAGCGAAATAAGCCAGACAGAGAAAGACAAACACTGTATGATTTCACTCACACGTGGAAGATAAACTAGCACGTGGACAAAGAGAACAGTTTAGTGGTTACCGGAGGTGAAGGGGGTTGGAGGTGGGCACAAGGAGTAAAGGGGCACATTTACATGGTGACTGACCAATAGTAACGTACTACTGAAATTTCACAATGTTATAAACTATTATGACCTCAACAGAAAAAAAGGAAAGTTGTTTTCCTGTCCCATAGGACCATGGCAGCTTGAATATGTCAAAATGAGTTTCTGTATCTTTGGATCTTTGCTGGCTGGTGCAACTTCTAAGGTCTTTTTACAGATATGTCAGAGTCTGTCAGTGAGCATCATAGTGCCTGGTGGACAGAAAGCTCTAAGGTGAAGGAAGAAATGACTTTTCCTTGTACGTAATTTGTCTCTTCTTGGGAATGGCATTGGAGCTTTTCGAGGGCCTCTCACCATCGGTATCGATTGTGTCTCCATGGTTGAGACTTTGCTGACAGCGTGTCCATGTGTTTTAACGTGCGTGGTCCCCTCCCTTGCATTTCCCTGTAAATTGTCAGTTAGCTTTGGAGATTCTCTTAGAGAAATGAAACATTACAGATAAAATTGAAGTCTTCTGAATACAATCCCTCAATCGAATTCTCTTCTTTTTCTCTTTTTTTCTTTTTTACCTTCTGGTGATAACTATCCTAATTTGTGTTCCTTATTCCAGTGCATGTGTACGTGTGGTATTCCAGCTTTCACTATGTATGTCTGTATCCATAAATAATATACAGCATTGTTTGCGTGGTTTTAGTTGTATGTGTGTATATATATTTACACACAGATATGTAATTATTTCACAACTTGCCTTTTTACCCTTCAACATTGTTTTAAATGTTTTCCATGTGAATGTGTGGTTTATTTAATTTTGCAGGCTTATCCACATTTCACTGCAGAATAATATTCCACTGTGTGCATATACCACGATCGATTTTCCTCCCTCCATGTGAGGAGCAGTAGGCTATTTCTGGTTCTCGCTGTTGCAGCCAGTGCTGCTGTGCACGTTCCTGTCCATGTTTCTGCGAGCGTTTGTGTGACAGTCTGCCATGTAGTCAGACGGGGTTCCTGAGTCATAGGGGATGCTCATCTGAAGCAGCCAAACGCTCTCTGAAATGATTCTGCAGTTTTCTATTCTACCAGCAGAGCTGCTGTTTGACGTCCCCCAGCTTTACCAATCTCGGCTGAACTGAGAATGTGAAATGGTATTTTTTTGTTGGTTTAACTCGAATTTCCCTGATTGCCGGTGTTTTTGAGCATCTTCTTTTTTCTTTTGTAACTTGCTGATTTTTCTGATAGGTTGTATTTTTCATATGTATTTATAGGGATTCTTTGTGTATTCTAGAAACCAATTCTCTGTCAGTTGTATGCATTGCAGTATCCTTTTCCTTTCATTTTCTCTATAATATCTTTTGTGATATAGTTTAAATTTTATTGTAATCAAATTTATCAAACTATAACTTTATGGTTTGTGATTTTTATGTCTTTTTAAGAAATCCTTCCCTACCTCACAATCATAGAAATGTTCTCTTGTTTTTTTTCTTCAAAGTTTTAAAGTTTGCTTCCTGAACTTAGGTCTCTTTTTATTTCCCAATTTCTTTTAATTGTGGCAAAATACACATAACATAAAATTTGCCGTCTTAACCCTCTTTAAATGTATGGTTCATGGTATTAAATATGTTCACAGTATATTCAGTCATCACCACCATCCGTCTCCAGAACTCTTTTCATCTTGCAAATCTGAAGCTCTGTCCCCATTAAAGACTAACTCCCCATCCCCCGCCCCCAACTCTTGGCAGCCCTGTTCTACTTTCTGTCTCTATGATTGTGACTACTCTGAGTACTCATATACGTGGAATCTTACAGGATTTGTCCTTTTATTTCACTTGCATAATGTCCTCGAGGTTCATCCACGTTGTGTCATATATTAGAATTTCATTCCTTTTCAAGGCTGCGTGATATTCCATTGTATGTATATACCATAATTTGCTTCTCCATTCATCCATTGATGGAAGCAGTGCACACTTGGGTTCCTTCCACGTTTTACCTATTGCAAATAATGCTTCTATGAATCTGGCTGTACAAATATCTCTTTGAGACCCTGCTTCCAGTTCTTTTGGGTATATTCCTAGAAGTGGAACTACTGGATCATGTGGTGATTCTATGTTCAACTGTTTGAGGAATCACCAGCTGTATTCTACAGTGGCTGCACGGTGTTATGTTCCCACCAACAATGCACAAGTCTTCCAGTTTTTCCACATCCTTTCCAACACTTGTTATTTTCCTTTTTTTGATAATAGCCGTCCTAATGGGTGTGAGTTGGTATCTCATTATAGTTTTGATTTACATTTCCCAAAAGATTAGTGATGTTGAGCATCTTTTCATGTGCTTATTGGCCATTTTGTATATCCTTTTTGGAGAAATATCCATTCAGATCCTTTGCCTATTTTTAAATTGGGTTTTTGTTGTTCTTGAGTTGTAGGAATTCTTTATATATTCTAGATATTAATCCCTTATTAGGTATATGATTGTGAATATTTTTACCCATTCCATAGCTTGTCTTTTTACTCTCTTAATGGTGTGCCTTAATGTACTAAAGTTTTAAATTTTCATGAAGTCCAGTTTGTGTATGTTTTATTTTATTGCCCATGCTTATGGTGTCATATCCAAGAAATCATTGCCAAATCCAATGTCATAAAGATTTTCTCCTATATTTTCTTCTAAGAGTTTTCTAGTTTAAGGTCTTACATTTAGATCTTTGATCTATGCTGAGTTACTTTTTGTACATGGTATAAGATAAGGATCCAACTTAGTTTTTTTGCATGTGGATATCCAGTTTTCCCAGCACAATTTGGTGAAAATACTATCATTTCCCCATTGAGTGGTCTTGGCACTCTTGTTGAGAATCAGTTGACTGTACATGTGAGAATGTGTTTCTGGTTATTACTGTGCTCTATTAGTTTATATGTCTGTCCTTATACCTTATAAACCAGTATCACATTGTTGTGATTACTGTAGCTTTGTGGTAAGTTTTGAAATGAGGAAATATGAATCCTCCAATTTCATTTTTTTTCTAGATTATGTTGACTATTCAGGGTCCCTTGGGATTCCATATGAATTTTAGAATGAGTTTTCTGTTTCTGCAAAAAATGTCATTGGAATTTTGAGATAGATTGCATTGAACCTGTAGATTGCTTTGGGTAGTATTGACAATCTTACATTTTCTACAAATTTAGGATTTTCTACATATAAGATCTGTTGAATTTTTATTGGAATTGCATTGAATTTTTGGATTAACCTGGAGAAAGGGGACATCTAATGATGTTTAATTATCTCATCTATTAATATGATTCATCTCTCATCCCTTTGTTCTTCAAGAATGTTTTGTGACTTTTATTATCAAGGTATTGCACTTACTTTATTCCTAGATACTTTATAGATTTTGTTGCTATTATAAACAATATTTTATGACAGCTTTATTGAGATATAATTCACACACTATAAAATTCACCCTTTTAAAGTATACAATTCAGTGATTTTTAGTATAGTCATAGAATTGTGCAGGCATTACCACTATCTAATTTTGGAATGTTTTCATTACCATAGAAAGGAGTCCCATACCCGTTAGAACAATATTTTTTAAAAACGATATTTGCTGGGGCTGGTGTGGTGGCACAGCAGTTAAGTTCACACCTTCCGCTTCAGCAGCCTGAGGTTTGCTGGTTCACATCCCAGGTGCGGACCTACATAGTGCTTTATTGAGCCAAGCTGTGGCAGGCATCCCACATATAAGGTAGAGGAAGATGGGCATGGATGTTAGCTCAGGCCCAGTTTTCCTCAACAAAAAGAGGAGGATTGGCGACACACGTTAGCTCAAGGATGATTTTCCTCAAAAAAAAATTTTTTTTCTAATTGTAAATGAAAATTTATTTTTGTATATTTCTTTGGTATTCCACAACCTTGCTAAACTTTTTTTTTTTTTCCTGAGGAAGATTCTACCTGAGCTAACATCTGTTGCTAATCTTCCTCTTTTTGCTTGAGGAAGATTCAGCCTGAGCTAACATCTGTGCCAATCTTCCTCTATTTTGTACGTGGGTCACTACCCCAGTGTGGCCGCCAGTGAGTGGTGTAGGTTCATGTCTGAGAACTGAACCCAGGCTGCCAAAGCAGAGCATGCCAAACTTAACCACTAGGCCAGAGGGTCAGCCCCTTTGCTAAACATTTTAATTCTAATTGTTTTTCTGTATATGCTTTTGGGCTTTCTATGTAGAAATCACCTTATCTGTAAATACGACAGTTTGTTTCCTCCTTTCTTTTTTTTTTCTAAAGATTGGCACCTGAGCTATCAACTGTTGCCAATCTTCTTCTTTTTTTTTTTTTTTCTGCTTTTTCTCCCCCAAATCCCCCCAGTACATAGCTGTATATTTTTTAGTTGTGGGTCCTTCCAGCTGTGGCATGTGGGATGCCGCCTCACTGTGGCCTGATGAGCGGTGCCATGTCTGCACCCAGGATCCAAACTGGCGAAACCCTGGGCCGCCGAAGTGGAGCACGCGAAATTAACCACTCAGCCATGGGGCCAGCCCCTGTTTCCTTCTTTCTAATCTTTATATATTTTATTTCTTTTTCTTGTCTTATTGTCTTGGCTAGGACCGCCATATCACATAAATGGTATATTTATATTATCCCTGAATTTAAAGAGAAATGCTCCTACTTGTTTGCAGTAGATACTTACTGTCAGTTTAAGGAACTTTCCTTCTATTCCCAGACTTTTTATCATGAATAATTTTGAAATTTTATCAAATAATTTTTCTGAAAATTTTGACATGATTGTGTAGTTTCTGTTTTGATTTTTAATGTGGTGGATTACATTAATAGTTATTCTACTATTGAACTATTCTTATGTTCCTATGACAACTAAACTGGCCATTATATACTCTTAAAATATGTACCTTTGAATTTGATTTACTCTAATATTTTATTTAAGATTTGTGTTCATAATTGAGATGTGTATACCTTTTCCTAGTTTTAACGTTGAGATTATACTAGCATCGTAAAATGAGTTGGGGAGATTTTCTTGTGTTTTTAGTCACTGAGACAGTTTGTATACTGTAGGAATTATGTTTTTTTTGAATGTTCATAGAACTTGTTTGTAGAGTTGCTTGAGTCTGATGTTCTGGCAGAGGAAACTTAAATCCAAATTCATTTTTGTAAATGGTTTTGGTATGCAGAATTCTACAATGGCCCCCACACCTGTACGGTTATCTCCCCTCGACTGTGGGAAGGACCTGTGGATATGAGGAGATATTATTCCCATGATTAGTTTACTAATCAGTTGACTTTGAGTTAACCACAGGGAGAATGTTCCGGTGGGACTGACCTAATCAGGTGATTAGAACTTTAAAGGGACTGGTCCCTTCCTAAATTCAGAGAATTTAGAAGGGTGACAGGGACTGTTGAGGGGCCAGGTATCAAGGGCCTGAGAGCGGCCTCTAAGAGCTAAGAGAAGTCCCCACTGACAGCAAAACGCTGGGACTCCTTTTCTACTGCAAGGAAATGAATTCTGCAGACAACCTGAAGGGACTGGGAAACGTCACTTTCCCTAGTTTAGCTTCCAGATGAGAATGCAGCCGACTGATACCTTGATTTCAACCTTGTGAGCCCTGAAGCGGAGGACTGAGCCGTGAAGTGCCCTGACTTCTGACCAGCAGGACTGTGAGCTAGTAAATGGGTGCTATTTCAAGTCACTAAATTGGGGTAAGTTTTTACACAGCAGTAGAAAACTAATACAATAGTTCATGGTTTATTCAGGTTTTCTACTTCTTCAGTCACTTTTGGTAATTTGCACTTTGGGGGGATTTCATCAGAGTTTTAGCATTTATTAATAAAATATTAAATTGTTAATATGTGATTGTGATTCTAAAAATCTCTCTCGTCTATAGTTGTGTTCCCTGTATGTACATACATTGCATGTGTGTACACATGCATGCATACACACGTGAGTGTACGTGTGTGCAAGTTTGTACTGTGTGTATTTCTATATGTGTATCTGTGTATGTATGTATGTGTACACTCTCTTTTTCTTGATTATTCTTGCCAGAAGCTTGTTCATTTTATTAAACATTCAAAGATTCAGCTTTCTATTATTTCTCTGTTTTCTATTTTAACCTTGTCTACTCTTACCTTTGTTTTTTCCATTTTTCTGCTTTTTCTAAATTTACTCTGCTGTTCGTTTTTAAGATTCTTGAGACATATCAATGCTTGGTTTATTTATTTTCAATACTTCAAAAAATAAATTAATGTGAATTTATAAATTTCCCCTAAAGCATCACTTTAACTGAACCCCGCACATTTTAATATGTAGTATTTTCATTGTTGATGAGTTCCAAATATTAGGTAATTTCTGTTGTTACTTCTTTAATTAATGAGTTATTTAGTGGGCCATTTTGAGGGTTTCTATACATGTGAATTTTCTTTTTAAATGTGTTTTTATAGTCGTATTCTCATTTAATTGCATTAATTGAAGAAGTGCAATAATATATGTTACTAATTCTTTGAAATTTGCTGAGATTTCTTTTGTGATGTAGGGTATGGGCAATTTTCAAAGATACTCCTGTGTACTCCAAAAAATGTATATTCTCTATTTGTTAGTAGATTTTGTCAGAGAGATAAATAGATAGATAAGATAAGAAAGCTATAGAAGAACTATATAATGGATGGAGACTACTAATTTTGTTTTAATCTTGTAAAGCCTTACTAAATTTTGGTGTTTAGTCTTTCAGATTCCGATAAGAGTTTTGTTAGAATCTTCTACTCTGTTGGAGGCATTTTCATTTTTTTTCTTTATCTGTTTTGAGTTTGTGAGGTTGGGTGCATAAAATTAATGATTGTTATATTTCTTGGTGAAATTTTCTTTTTTATTGTTACACATTCTATAAACTTCTTTAGCCCTAGTGTTGTTTTTTGTCTTAAATTCTCTTTTGTCTTTAGTCTTTCTATACCCACTTTCTTTTCTATAGTATTTGCTTACTATATCCTTTCAAAAAATCTGTTTATTTTCAACATTTCTGTATTTTTTTAAGTGTGTCTTTTGTAAGTGGAATACAGTTGGACTTCAAAAAGCTCCAATCTAATAATCTATGCTTCAATAGGAAATTAAAATTCATTTATATTTGTTATGATATATTTGGACTTAATTCTAACATCTTATTTTGTGCTTTCTCTTTATATCCTTTCTTTGCCTTTTTGGGGGGAGTCTTTTTCTGACTTCCATCTCTTGACAAAACGTTCTGTCCCAGCACACCTTTTTCTTATTCTCAGCACTCCTTTTCCCCCCTCTGCTGGTTTTGAGATAGATTGTATTTCTATCCATTTACTGAATATCCTTGACATTTTAAACATATATTTGTAACTATACATTTGTCTAACACAGAGGTCAGCAAACTACAGCCCATCTGTCTGGCAGCCTGTGTTTATAAATAAAGTTTTATAGGAATGCAGCCTTGTCCGTTCAGTTACTGTTATCTGTGGCTCTTTCATGCTACAGTGGCAGAGCTGAGTGGTTGTGGCTCGCAAAGCCTCTTTACTACCTGGCCCTTTACAGAAAACGTTTGCCGTCCCCGGTCTAACACGGTGACTAGTGAGTTAGCTTCCGTAGCATGGATTGATGCAACTACCACTAGAACCATGCCTTCTGCAAATATTTTTAGTGTTGCCGAGATTGTTAGTTTTACATATAGAAAATAAACACAAGATTAATGAAAAATTGGATATCGTAATTAAAAAGCAATCAATGATTAATTAAATTTAAATACTTAAAAATTATTTTCTGTGCCTATCATTCTTGCATACTGTGCATTCCCTTTGGGTTCAGTTTTTATGCTGTTTTACTGAGGGTCTGAGTGATGACTTATTTTGTACCTGAAATATTTTGCCCTCACTCTTCATTGACAGTTTAGCTGGATATTAAGTTTTAAGATGACAATTATATCCTGTAGCTTTTTGAAGGTGTTACTTAACTGTCTTCTAGCATATATTTTTGCTGAGGTGAGGCTTTCTCATCTTTTAATTTTTCTTTTTTTCTAGATGTTTTGTCTTTTCTTTCTAGTAGCTTTTAAGACTTTCTTTTTATGCCTGATATTCTGCAGTTCCTCACACTGTTTCTAGCTGGATATGTTTTCTTTATCTGATTGGTACTTATAGTGCACTTCAAATTTGAGAACTCAAGTCTTTAATTCTGGAAATTTCTCATCTGTTATCTCTTCAGATGTTGTGTTTTCACAATTCTCTCTATTCTGTTCTTCTGGAACTCACATTTGATGTGTGTTAGGTATCTGATCTAACTTAACTTCTCTCTCATTTTTTTTCTTTGTCTTTCTGATGTCTGTAGGTAAATGCCTTAGTGCTAGTCTTAGTACTATTTTCTAAACTGTTAATAATCTCAAACCATGTCTCCAGCCTAGAGTGTGATACATCATTACTGTTGATACTATTTCAGTAACTATTTGTTTATTTCTTAGACTTCTAGCTAGTTTTTAAAGTTCCTACCTGTTTCTGTCTGTTTTTGTTTCATAATTTGTTGATTTCATCTGAACAAAATTAATCTTCTGATAGTTGTTTCCAATAGTTGAAGGTTTTTCTTAGTCTTGGACTTCCTCATGTGCTATAGAATTTTGGTTTGAATAGGTTTTCTTGTTGCTCTTCTTTTTTTCTCCCCTGAGAGTTTTATCTTATTTTTGACCCGAGCTCCATCTCAAATTTTATTCCTCACTGCCATATATTAGAGCAGGGGAGCACAAAGCCTTCTTCACCAGGAGTCCAGGATGCATGTTAAAGGTAGAGCCCATAGGGTGATTGGTGAATTGGATGTGGAGTGTGAGAGAGAGGAGTCAGGGGTGAAGACTTGGTGTTGCCTTAAATCACAGTCAACTAGCACTGCTCACTGAGAGGGGCGAACACTGGAGAAGGAGCAAGATTGGGAGTAAGAATCCAGAGTTCTTTAGTCACTGTGATGTAGCAACTCTGAACTTAAAAAAAAAAGTACGTTTTAGAATGTAAAATTTTAAAAAGAGTTCTTTAGTTGTGTAATGTTTGATGTGCTTTTTTTTGATTTCCAAGTGGAAATGTTAAAAAAGCAGTGGGATATATGAGCCCAGAATTCCATGTTTGAGTTAAAGATGTCAATTTTGGAGTAATAAGCATACAGTGGTATTCAAAGCTATTGGGTAGATCCTATTTGGAGTGAGCCCTGGGGCATCCAATTCTTGAGTCTGGTAGAGGAGGCAAAGCTGGCAAACAAGACCTAGAAGGGGCTCCCAGAGAGTTAAGAGGAAAACAAGAGAGTTGACCAAAGGACAAGAGAAGAAGCCATTTAAAGAAAGAGACTTAACCATTGGAATTGGCAAGAAGAAGACCTGACCCAGCATTTCAGTGGAACGGTGGGGTTGGGGATCTAGGTGGACAAAGGTGAACAGAGGTGGAAAGGTTAAGCAGCAGGGACCAAAGATTGACACTTTCATTGAGTTTTGGTGCGAAGGGCGCAGAGAAGTGTGTTATGGTCAGAGGCGGATGTAGGATCTTTTGTTTTTAAAATGGGAGACACTGGAATATGTTTTTATGCTAATAGAACTGATTGTTAGAGTTTTTCTGAGTCTCTGAACCCGCTATTCCACCTTCCCCACCCCTCATTCCCACGTTCTCTTGATATAGCGTGAAGAAGGTGATATGTGGTGCCTGTCCGGGAGTCTCTCAAGCTCCACTTTACTCTCGCTCTCACTCATCACCACCTCTCCTGAGGCAGCTTTAAGTACAACTGGGCTTGGTTTGGGGACATGGTTCAGGCTTGGACTCAGTTGGAGGCCAGGCCAAAAGGGGCCAGAGACCAAGTGTCATCGCAGGGGTGATGCCTTTGAACTGGAGGGCGGTCATGCTGGTAAAAGCCATGGCTGACGTTCCTGGTGAGGATGTCTGAATTCAGCTCCTGCCTCCCCCTGCCTGGCAAGCCCCACACCGTGTGCCAGTCCTGTGCTCGGACAGTGGGGGACAAAGATGTCACTGCTCTTGGGAGAAAGGACATGGGTGGTGAGTGGGGTGTGTTCTCTTCTCAACTCGGTGTGAAAGCCCTTACCTCCCTCCTTCTCTTTGTTCCTGCCAGGATCCTTGCCACGGCTGGCACTGACTTTGACCTGCGAACTCTGCGGGCTGTGCGTGTGCTTAGGCCCCTGAAGCTGGTGTCTGGGATTCCGAGTGAGTCTGGCACAAGCAGTCAGGCCCAGGCCTACTTGGAACACTGACCTCCTCTCCGCCCCCTCTCCATGGCCAAGGCCACGGCCACGGCCACAGTTAAGCCCTAACCAGTGGGTCCTTTGCTTGGGTGACTCTGAGCTTGCTGCTCTTGACCCAGGGAACCAGATGTGAGGAAGGGCGGAGCAGGCCTCTCCCAGTCTGTCCCGCTCCCTTGGAAAGCCCAGAGGGCGGCCCTCTTATTTTCCCTGACTCGCCTCCCTGGGTGGAAGCTCTGCTCCTCCTCACACCCTCTGCTTTGTCTCCAGCTCTGTGCTTCCTCTGTGGCTGAAGGACAGATGTGAGCTTGGCCGAGGTGGCAGGCGTGATGCCTGCAAATATGTTCAAGGGCCGCAGGAGACCACCTGTCCTGGTTTGGGCTCTGCAGGGCCCTTGGGAGCTGAGGGCCAGTTAAGACCTGCTCCCAGATGGGCGGCTGGAGCCACGCGTGGCGGGAGGAGGGGCAGGCTTGCCTTGGGAGCCAGTGACCACCCTGCCCTTCCCTCTAGGCCAGGGGGAGTGTGGTTTTAGGGATCCCTCAGGGCCTGGGTGGGCGGGGACCTAGGGATGTGCCCCCTGAGACCGTGAAAGGGAAAACCCTTGATTGGCTCCCTGTTCTTCCCTGAGACCCTGCCAGGCAAAGGCTCAGGCCTGTGTCCAAGGGCCAGGCCAGACTGGGAGCGGGGGTCAGGGGGCTCATCCCCTGCAGCCCCTGCTCCTGGCCTGGAGACGCTCGTGCTCTGTGGTCAGCGGTGGAGTCCTCCCTGGGGGCAGGTCCCTTGCTTCACTTTCCCTGAGGGGTTAGTTCTGTCAGGAATCCCTGGACTTCCCTCCCAGGATGCCCTGCTCATCATTCCCAGCATTCCCTGCTCTTCCTTCCCGTGATCCCCTGCTCTTCCCTCCCAGGATCCTCTGCTCTTCCCTCCCAGGATCCCATGCTCTTCCCTCCCAGGATCCCCTGCTCTTCCCTCCCAGCATTCCCTGCTATTCCCTGCCAGGATCCCCTGCTCTTAGTTCCCAGCATTCCCTGCTCTTCCCTCCCATGATTCCCTGCTCTTCTCTCCCAGGATCCTCTGCTCTTTCCTCCAAGGATCCCCTGCTCTTCCCTCCCAGCATTCCCTGTTGTTCTCTCCCAGGATCCCCTGGACATTGTTCCCAGCATTCCCTACTCTTCCCTCCCAGTATCCCCTTCTCTTCTCTCCCAGGATTCTCTGTTCTTAACTTCCAGAATGTTCTGCTTTTCCCTCTCAGGATTCCCTCATCTTCCCTCTCAGGACTCTCTGCTCTTCCTTTACTCTGGGCCCCCCACGGATCCACAGATCTCACCGGCCCACACTTTCCACCTGAACTTCATGTTCTGACACCCCCACACCCTGCTCTTCCCCCTCCTTTGGGACACTGCTCAGTCCACCTCCCCCTACCACCCTATGCTTTGTCCCCCACCCGAGGACTCTCAGCTCTGCCCCATACGAGCTCGCACTCTTCTGCCCTCCTTCCCCAGGATTTCAAGCCTCCCCACTGCTGCCTGCTGTGTCTCCTACTTCGAGGGTCCCCTCTGTTCTGTGGCCCCATAAACACTCACTGTGAGCACCGTGCCTCAGGACTCTCAGCCCCACCCCGCCCGGCTCTTGCTATTCTGTCCACACCCTAGCCCCATGCCCTGCGCTGCCCACCCTGCTCCCTGACCTGCCCTGCTTTGCCTGCCCTGGCCCCAGGTCTGCAGGTGGTGCTCAAGTCCATCATGAAGGCCATGGTTCCGCTCCTGCAGATCGGGCTGCTTCTCTTCTTCGCCATCCTCATGTTCGCCATCATCGGCCTCGAGTTCTACATGGGCAAATTCCACAAGGCCTGTTTCTCCAACAGCACAGGTGAGGCCTGGCAGCACCCTTTTGTTTTTTTTTTTTTTGAGGAAGATTAGCCCTCAGCTAACTACTGCCAGTCCTCCTCTTTTTGCTGAGGAAGCCTGGCCCTGAGCCAACATCCGTGCCCATCTTCTTCTACTTTATATGTGGGACACCTACCACAGCATGGCTGCCAAGCGGTGCCATGTCCATACCCGGGATCCGAACCAGCGAACCCCCGGGCCGCCGAGAAGCGGAACGTGCGAACTTAACCGCTGCGCCACTGGGCTGACCCCAGGCAGCACCCTTGGATCAAGGAGGACCACAGATTCCCTCCTTCAGGAGAGAGGCACTGTTCCGGGTGCTGGGGGCTTTCTAGGTGCCAGACACGAAGTGGAGGTTCCAAGGAGACAGACAATCACCTGATAAATACAAATACATAAACTAACATGCACGTGAACTCATTACAGATGGTAGTAACTTCTAGGAAGGAAACAAGAAGGGTGTTTGAAACAGTAATTTGGTGCCCACCTCATAGAGAGTGGCCAGGGAGGCCTCTCTGCTAGGGTGACAGTGTACAGCAGTCTGAATGCAGTGACAGGCAGAACGTGTGCCCGCCTCCCCAGAGAGCTTCAGTTATAAGAAACAGTGAGTGCATGAGGCTGGAGTGAGGAACAGCGAGGAAGAAGTGGACATTATGTGGGTTAGGTGGATGGTCGGAACTCTACGTCTTATTCTGAGAGAAATGGGAAGATGGCAGTGGGGTTGGCCTTGTGGCCAATTGGTTAAGTTCACATGCTCCGCTTCGACAGCCTGGGGTTTCACTGGTTCAGATCCTGGGCATGGACGTGGCACCGCTCATCAGGCCATGCTGAGGTGGTGTCCCACATAGCACAACCAGAAGGACCACAACTACAATATACAACTATGTACCGGGGGGCTCCAGGGAGAAGAAGAAGAAAAAAAGAAAGATTGGCAACAGATGTTAGCTCAGGTGCCAATCTTCAAAAAAAAAAAAAAAAAAAAAGACAGCAGAGGGCTTTGAGTGAGGAGTGACGTCATGTGACAGTTCTGCTGCTCTGGGGAGGTGAAGGCAGAACAGGGTTGACTTGGAGAGTGATATCTCAGTCCAGAAGAGGCGGTGGTGGCGGGGGCCAGGCTGTTTTGGTAGAGATGGTTAGAACAGTTAAGTTCTGGTTATATTTTGCAGCAAGGCCTGCTGGGCCAACAGGGTTTTCTGGGAGCTTGTATGTGGGGTGTAACAGAAAGAGAAGAGTTAAGGGTGACTCTAAGGTTTGTGGCTTGAGTTACAAACATATTAAAGGAGAAAACTCATATGGTCATCTCACTAGATGCAGAAAAAGCTTTTAGTAAAATTTAAATCATTCATGATTAAGAAAACCTCTTATCAAACTAGAAATAAAAGGGAATTTTCATAAATTCGCTAAAATTTCCTGCAAACATACTTTGTTGTAGGTCTTGAGAGCTTTCCCTTTAAAGTCAAGAACAAAATTAAGGCACTCATGGTCACTTCTAGTTCACATAGCATTGGTAGTCACAGCCGGTGCCAGGAGACAAGAAAAGGTAGACAAACTCTATCGAGAATGGGAAGGAAGGAAATAAAACTAGCATCGTTCACAGAGAATACCATTGTCTACAAATAGACAAACAATCACTTACTAGTCTTCTCTGTGAGCATTTTTTGAGATGTTTGGAGGGAGAGGAGTAAACTCGTCTGCTCAGTTTTTTCTTCTAAACCTTGGAGGATTTGCTTTCCACCCTAGCAACTCCTCAAAATTTCTCCTATGTTTATAGGCGGGATTTCCATGTGTTGTTATACATTTTTTTTTTTAAATAGTTTTTTTCTGCCCTTTCACTAAGATTTTGGGAGTGGAATGGATAAACATGCTGTTTGTTTAAACATGTGATCTTGTTGCAGAGATTAGCACTATTTTTCTGGTGTGTCTTTAACATCCCTCTGTGTGGTCCTTGGCTGCCTGCTAGGCTGCAGGCCAGCAGGAGCACATCCACTCTGTAAGGGCCCCGAGGCGCCCAGCCATCCTCTGAGCACACGTTGGGTGGGCTCCGGGTCAACCTGCGAAGGTTGACGAGCACTGGGACTGAGGTGGCTGAGTCCAGCTTGGTATTAGCTCCAGAGTGACAAGCAGATCTGCATGTCAGGAGAATCTTGGTGGCAATTTGGCTGTGAGGGAAAGAAGTCAGGTGGTAGTGGTAGAAAGAATTGGAGGTTAGGAGTTTGTTGTTTTTTACTTTAAGATGAATGAGTCCTGAGCATGTTTAAGTGATGATAGGTAGGTTCCAGTAGAGAGGGAGAGGTTGACCAGTAGGGTCAGGGTAGGTGTGAACTCAGGTGGAGGCAGACTGTAGGCCAGAGGAGAGAGCTGGTGCAGGTGCAAGGAGGAGTGGCGGGAAGTTGAGGGAGGGCTTCAGTTGGTGCCTGATTCCTGCCCACCTGTGATGAGGTCTTCAGGGCCCAGGAATCCCAGCAAGCGTTGGAGAACTTGGTGTTTCTTAGCTCAGGGTCTGTGTTTCATTCTCTTCCTCTCAGATGCAGACCCAGTGGGTGACTTCCCCTGTGGCAAGGAGGCCCCAGCCCGGCTGTGTGAGGGTGACACTGAGTGCCGGGAGTACTGGCCAGGACCCAACTTTGGCATCACCAACTTTGACAACATCCTCTTTGCCATCTTGACGGTGTTCCAGTGCATCACCATGGAGGGCTGGACTGACATCCTCTACAATGTGAGTTGTATCTTGGCTCTGGGATGGGGAGTGGGCCCTGGAGCTCCTGGGGTCCCATCTGGGGTAGTGCTTCTGACCTAAGAACCTCTGCCCAGCCCCAGGCTCCTTCCTCCACCCTAGGTTGAAATACAGACCCCTTCCCTCAGATGGCCCCATCAAGGGGTCCACTATGATTGATCTCAACTTGAACTCTTGATCTGGGTCCTGGAATCTCCAGGACAGCTTCTCTTGTGAAAGTGAAACTGAGGGCTGGGTAGTAGAGGTCAGAAAAGAGAATTCCAGAGAAGATGCTACTTTTGCTGATGGTGAAGGTGGCAACAGCACCAATAACTGAGGCTCACTGCTATGTGAAGTGTTTTAGTCCTGTTATCTTGTAGAATTATCTCAAGAATCCCATTGTACAGATGATAAAACTGAGGCATGGAGAAGCTAATTAATTTGCTCTGGGCCCTAAGACTTGTAGGCAGCTTGCCGTTAACTAATAACTATGCCATCCCTGCTGGGGTTTCTGGATGGAGTAAGCGATGGTGAGGCTTTCTGGGCCTCTCATTGTCCCTAGACTGTCTGGTGAAGATAGGGAGGAGCAGGTAGGGGTGTAGGGCCACGCTGAACTGAGGCTCAGGGAAACTTCTCTGGTTACGCAGGGATGCTTGGGGTGGGAGCTTGTGTTTTCTACATTTGTTTCCTTCTCCCTGAGTCTGTCTGGTACTCTTTCCTCTGGTTCTGCTACTATTTGATCTTCTCACTCTCATCAGAATGCCAGTCCATCTCAGTGGTGCAGGGCAGTCTAGGTTTGGTGACCATGACAGAAGTTGAGTAAAAGGCCCTTAGGGGTTGCCTAGTGACTCATCTCCCTCCCACCAGCCCTCTACCTGAGGCTCCTCTTGGTGGACTCTACAATCAACTCATGAGCAGACTGCTGTCTCTTTTTTTACGTGGCAACTCCTCCCACCCCCAGCTACCTTCTACGCCCTGGAGCCCTGGGAGCCACTGGCCATGAGAACAATTAAATTCATCCCTCAGGGACTTTGGGAGGTAGAGAAACAAGATGCACATGAGCCAGGGGTCTTGGAAGGCTTGGCTGGGAGGGTATGGCTGCTGGATTGCTATGTTTTGGGTAGCTAGAGGGTGTGTTCTGCTTGGGTGCTGTGGGTGGGGGACCCTGGAGCACAAGGTACTTCTCTTTGAACTTATCACTTGTGCACTGAGGGTGGGGCTTGGGCTTCAAGCCCCTGGAGCCCTGTGCTCCCCAGCTTCTAGCAGCTGGTAGCATGACAGTGGACAGAGGAAAGGGACAGACTGGAACCCTTTGCTCTGTGCCTCCTCTAAGGGTTCATGGAGATCCAGGAGAGTCTTAGAACTGGGCATCCAGTAGGTGCTTGGTAAATGCTCATTGAAGCTGGGCCCATGGCTGAGTGGTTAAGTGTCCACACCTGGGGTTCACCAGTTCAGAACCTGGGCATGGACCTAGCACTGCTCATCAAGCCATGCTGAGACGGTGTCCTACTTAGAGGAACTAGAAGAAGCTGCAACTAGGATATACAACTATGTACTGGGAGGCTTTGGGGAGAAAAAAACAAAATGCTCATTGAGCAGGCAGTTAGCAGCTGAGGAGTTAAGGAAAAGCTTGTCCAAGGTCCATTGAACCAGATTCCTCCTTGGAGTGGGAGTCGTGCCTGATGATAGGCTCTGTTTGATCGAGGGAAAGAGGAATGGGGACAAAGGCAATGAAAGGAGCTCGGCTGTTCTCTCTCTGCTGATGATCAAGGAACAATTTCCACAGAGACAAACTCTAAAAATAGCTCTGAGCTGGCCACATCCCTGCCAGCCCCACCAGAATGAAGGCCTGTGTAAGCAGGTCTCTCCAGTCCTCAGTGCCCAATGGGGCCTGGCCAGTGGCCCAGGTGACTCAGACTGGTGGATCTGTGCCCCTTGGGGGAGGGGGTAGGCAGGAACCAGATCCCAGAGCAGGAGGCACTGATCAGCAAGGGCCACAAAGGCTTCATCCAACACATATTTCCAGGGGACCCACTGGGTGCTGGGCACCCCCTGAGACACTGCAGGTACCGTGGTGAGCAGGAGGTGGTCAGTGAATAAGGGCCCAATAATGCCAAGCACTATGAAGAAAACAGAGGAGGATGCGGGGCAGGGAGTGACAAGTAGAGGGTCTTGGAAAGGACAGCCTAGTGAAGTCTGGAAGCCAGACGTGTGCACACCACGGGGTGGCGCCTTGCAAGGTGGACGAGGCACCAGGACGCAGTGATGGCGATGAGCTGTGAGGCTGCTGCCCAGAGCAGGTGGCCAAGAACTGACTGGATCCACCCTCCACACCGAGGGATGGCAGAGTTGGTTGTCACAGATCAGACAGGATTTTTGAAGAGGATTCTTTGGAGGGAGAGCCTGCCCCTCACCTGTAACCCAGTGAGAGGGGCTCTCGTGGTCCCTCAGCCCCATGCTCTTGGAGTGTGGAGGCCCACGCGACGGTGCCTGGGACTCAAGGGCAGGAGCCACTGGCCTACAGCAGTGGAGGAGGGGAGTGATGCAGCACACTCATGCCAGGAGCAGGGGCGGGGGTTTGAGCGTCTCTTGTGGACAAGCTGTTGCCAGGGGAGGGTGGGTCAGCCAGGAGCCTTTTTAAATTCTGATGAGGGGGAATGATGGGGTCTCAACAGAGAACATCTGTTCAGAGTGGACTGCTGAAAAGCTGGCTGTGGTGGGTGTGGCAGGGGGCAGTTCTCCAGCTGGAGGAGAAATGGCTAGCCTATGTTGAAAAGTAAGTGAAGTCAAATGGGGTCTTGGAAGAACCCGCAGAAGTGCCTGGTGAGAGACGAATCAGCAGTAAATTCCTGTCAGGCCCAGAGAGATGAGATTATCTCAGGACAGCACCATGCAAGGAAGAACTTGCCTGCCTCCTTGCTCCTCCTTCTCCTGCTTTGAGAGTGTTGGGGTCAGCAACCAGACAGCAAGCTGAGGAAGGAGGAACAACGTGAGGCGTGTAGGGGCAGAGAGGGGCCGTGCCTTCTTCTCCCACTGCAAGCAGCCAGCTGTGGCAGGCCAGCTAAGGAGAGTTGATACTCTCAGTGTAAAGCATGTTAAACCTGTTTTATTACCAGCTGGGATTGGACACTTAATTACTGAATTGAGACCGTGTTTTCTATGTGACGTGATTGTAGAACTTTCTATTACCCAGGAGTTATCAGAAAAGTCATAAGACTTATTCAGATTTTCATCCAAGAGCATGACTATGTTCAAAGGGACAGTAGGAGGTAAATAATATTGGTTTATGATTATATACATGTGATTTTGCATATGTTCCTTGTACTAGTTACATAAAAATCTGAGGAAGGAGTGTTCAGATATAGAGGTGCAAAGGCTATATTTTGAAATTAGGAATGACGGGACTTGCTCTTTGGATGTGCAACATGAGAGTAAGAAGAATCAAAGATGATGTGACTTGAACCACTGGGAACAGTGGTACCTTTTACTGAGAAGAGGAGAATTGGGAGCAAGACATTTGCTTAGTTTTGTGTTGGTGGAGAGTAGTGGTGGAACCCGAATTCTGGTTTGGCCCTGTAAGCTTTAGATAACTATTTCCATCCAAGTGGAGATGCTGAGTCTACAGCTGGGTATATGAGAGGGAGTTCAGAGGGAACAGCAGGGTAAGGGTGTATGTTTGAGGTCATGGATAGTGTTTAAAATTATGGGAGAAGATGAGATCGCCTGGGTAGTGAGCGTAGATGGAGAAGTGAAGAAGGCCAAAGACTCAGCCTTCTTTGAGCCTTTGGCTATCAGGGGAATTCCAACATTCCGAACCAAGTGGGAAAGAAGGAGCTAGCAAGAGAGACCAAGGTGGAGCCTTTAAGGAGGGGAGGGGGTAGGAATAACACCATGAGCATGCTCTGTCTTGGAAGCAAAGCAAAGAAAGTGACCAACCAGGTCAGATGTTGCTGAGAGGTCAGGGAAGATGTTGGTAAACTTGACAAGAGCAGTTTCGGTGGTGGGGTTAAAACCATGGAATTTGCAGGCTACAGGAAGGAGGCATGGAAGTGAGGATGGCAAGTATAGTCAGCTCTTCCAAGGATTTTCCCTATGGAGTGGAGCAGGGCAATCAGCGGTAACTGCAGGGAGACAAGAGAATTGGCATCTTTTAAATTAAACTTTTTATTTGAGATAATTGTAGGTTCACACACAGTTGTACGAAATAATACAGAGAGATCACATGCTTCCTTTACCCAGTTTCCTCTAAGGGTGCAACCTGCAAAACTGACATATATCACGACTGGGATGTTGACAGAGATGCAGTCAAGATACAGAACGTTCCATCCCCACGAGGATCCCTCTTGTTGCTCTTTTATAGCCACACCCACTTCTCCCTTGCCCTTACACCTCCTCAATCCCTGGTAACCACTTATCCGTTACCATTTCCACACTGTTGTGTGGATGAAACCATACTGTATGACTCTTTGGTTTTGGCTACTTTCACTCAGCATAATTCTCTGAAGATTCATCCTGATTGTTGTGTGTGTAAGTAGTTGTTCCTTTTTGTTGCTGAGCAATCTTCCATGGTATACAGTTTGCTTAACATCCGCCTGTTAAAGGACATCTGGATTATTTGCAGTTTGGGGCTTTTATGATAAAGTTTCTCTACACATTTGTGTACAGGTTTTTGTGCAAACATAAGTTTTCATTTCTCTGGAATAAATGCCAAAGAGTGTGATTTCCTGTCTGTGTAGTAGTTACGTGTTTAGTTTTTAAGAAACTCGAACTTCTCCAGAGGGCTGTATCCTTTCACAATCCCACCAGCCAGTGTGTGAATAATGTAGTTTTTCTGCATTCTTGCCAGTATTTGGTGGTGTCACTGTTTTTACTTTAGCCATTCTGATAAGTGTGTATTGATATATCATTGTGGTTTTAATCTGCACTTCCTAACGGCTCATGATGTTAAGCAGCTTTTCATATTCATTTCCCATTTGTATTTCTTCTTCAGTGAAATTCTCTTG